CAGTCCCCTACGTCAGCGCTGCCTGTTAACGCATGACATATGACCATGGCATTATCTCCACTGGGCGCTAGGGTTCCATAAGTCTTGTATGCAACATTGACATTGTGTAGCACGACGCCGGATTCAAGGGTGAATTCTGGAATTATAGCGATGGTTTGGTCGGGGATGAGTTTAGCGTAGGGGTTTTCGGGCTGTGACGACACTCTTTCTACAGAAATGTTAGAGTTTTTTTTTCGGGTCAAGAAATACTGCAACCAAAGAAACCGTAGAACTAGACATTGCGGTTACCTAGCAGTAAGCGATCAAGTCGTAGGTTGTCAAATCCTTGTTCTGTAACACTGTGACATGCGCTGTGCTTCAGGCTGTGTCTTACAACTTTTGCGACAATAAAATGTATTTGCAAACGACTTACTATACTTGTGCGACCCACTGGCCGTTCCGTTATCCAATTTTGAACTGTCCATATCTGTAGTGCTCATGGGTCGTGTAACAAGGAGTGTAAAGCCTGCAAGGCAGGTGGGGGCGTATTAATCACATTGCGGGGAGTCATTCTTTTGGTGTTGATGCTCGCAATCTGCCGCTAAACGAGGGTTTTGAGGTCTTGGCGATGACGTGATTCCATCTGTTCATGCACATGCAACAGAGATCCTGACTCATTTGGTCTGTACTAAACTACCCCATATTATTCGTCTTACGCGGTTGCAATTTGAGGCTGAGATTTCTTCACTATTACATGCGATCTCGGATTTTTGGCATGCTGCGATTTTAACTTGCCTATTGGTAGTTGATGGATTGTGACTAAAGTCCGTATCCAAGATGTGATATGCAAAATGGATTTGATGCTCTGTACGTTGTCCATTCAGCATCGCATATCTCGCTACTTAGTTTGTGAAGATGGGGACAAATACGTAGGCCTCAATTCGGTTGAAAATAACAAACCCCATGAGTTCATTGAACCACGATAACTTTTTGATCGCTTGACTTCACGGGATTGCGATATGCCGTTTAATAGGTTCTCATGCTCGCAGAATATTCCATGGCGAAGTGCTCTCAACCGACTATTCCCAAGGCATGATACCAGTCAAAAGGAAAAAAGATCAAAACTTAAGACATGAATTTGAGAAGGGGATGTTGAGGATGTAGAGGCCAAACTAGATGACCAGATTAGAATCTTGTGGTAGATAGATTATCGGAGACTTGGTTTCATTCTTTCCTCGTACGAAACCGGGCGTGGTTGAACTCTGTTGCTGTTCAAGAGTGCATCGTTTGCGAATGAGTCCGCACCAGACGCTAAACCACATATGGCTCGTGTTCTGTGCTTAGCTCTTTTTGCTGCCATCACATCGCCATCTTAGTAACATCAATCATCATCCATATTGACATGCAATGCGACGGGTAGTAGTAACAGGCTTAGGGCTTGTGACACCTTTAGGGCTAGGTAGTATGCCCTGATTCATCATTCAAGCTCTCCACTAATTTTTGCAGGCGTCCGCCAAACATGGAAACGCCTGGTCGATGGACACTGCGGCATCGTTTCTATCAAGGATCGCAGCCAAGATTTTGCCTTGCTTCCGAGTCGAATAGCCGGCATAGTACCACAGGGATCGAAAGATGAGGGGAAATGGAATCCGAAAGAGCATTTGACCCCTACTGTAGGTCCCGTGTAGTTATCACAAGACTACTCGAGCAGCCACTGACAACAAAACAGGACGAGCGTCGCATGGCGCAATTTGCCCAGTATGCCATGGTGGCCGCTGAAGAAGCTCTGCAGGATGCTGGATGGAACCCAAAGAATGAGAACGGTCTTGAGGCCACAGTACTAATGTACCGTACTGTTCGTATGTGCTCTACTTACATAGTCGTAGGGTGTCTACATGGGCTCCGGAATCGGTAGCTTAGACGATGTATACGACACTACTGTGGCATACGAAAAAGGTGTAAGTGAAGAATCCCTTCTTATCTCATACAAAGCTAACTTTCTAGGGCTACCGGAAGGTCTCACCGCTGTTCGTACCACGGCTATTGATCAATCTCGCGGCTGGCCACATCTCAATGCGCTACGGTTTCAAGGTGAATTGTTTACGTTGAGCTACGGTCATGTCACTAACGTTCTGTTAAAGGGACCGAACCACGCCGCAACCACAGCATGCACAACTGGTGCGCACAGCATTGGGGATGCTTCTCGCCTGATCCAATTTGGAGATGCAGATGTCATGATCGCTGGCGGGTCGGAATCTTGTATCCATCCGCTCGCTATTTCAGGCTTCGCTAGAGCCAGAAGCCTTTCCACTGCATTCAATGACCGGCCTACTGAGTCAAGTCGTCCATTTGACAAACAACGCGATGGCTTTGTTATTGGAGAGGGAGCTGGTGTTGTGGTTCTTGAAGTACGTCTTTCTGGACCATGATGTGTGTTGATCTAACGAGTGTAGGAGCTCGAGCACGCGCAAAGAAGAAATGCACGCATTTATGCTGAAGTTGCTGGTTACGGGCTGTCCAGCGATGCATACCACATGACAGCACCCCGCGAGGATGGACAGGGCCCACGCCTAGCTATGAAGAATGCATTGCGACATGCTGGCATCAAGCCAGGTGCTGTCGATTACATTAATGCTCACGCCACGAGTACACCTCTAGGTGACGTCGCTGAGAACAGGGCGATCAAATCACTCTTACTAGGCGAAGAAGGAAAATCGTCAGCCTCTGAGATCAACATCAGCAGCACGAAAGGTGCAATCGGGCATTTGCTCGGCGCTGCTGGTAGCGTGGAAGCAATCTTCACAGTGTTGGGGATACATCATGTGGGTTAAGTGTAGAGCTATAGCGGTACAAAGGCTAATAACTTGTAGAACATCCTCTCACCAACCCTTAACCTCATTGAGGCTGGAGAACCGGCTTCTGAATTTGATTGCAATTATGTAGCAAATGATGCTCAGCAACACAAGGTCAATGTCGCTCTCTCGAACAGTTTCGGGTTTGGAGGCACCAATGCTTCACTCTGCTTCCGGAAATTGTAAATATACGAGGACTTGTCAGAGGTAACTGCAAGGAAAGAGATCTTCTCAACAACAGTCTGATTAAACTCATGTTAGCTGGTGCATTGAAGTGATTGTATAGAAGAGTGATGATGGGTAAGCTGCCCCACTACTGAGGCCCGGCCCTTCTATGATAAGAACTATGAACCCCACTCACTAGCGTCATTGCATCCAATGAACCACTTCCGGAAGCCGCACGCCATTTCACTTCTCTTCCCCAATTTTCTGCGTCCTTCTCATAGAAGCCTGCTCAATTCCTTTGGTCGTCCTGAGGCCCAGTTGCGGCTTTCAATTAAATACTGACGACTAGAGCGATGACGACTTCACAGGGCGTGCCTGTTGTGGGCGGCGATAGTGGGGACCCAGAGAACCAATCGTCTTTCTTCCACAAAGCCTCAAGGAAAGCTACAGAATACCACTCACAGACTCCATACCTCAGACGGCTTCCTTTCCCCGCGATTGCCATCATTGTGACTCTCATTTTCGTCAACTTACTTGTTTGGGCAGCGGTCGGTATCGTTTTGGTAGGTGGAAGATATTTTTACAGGTGAACAACAAAAAGTACTAATTTCTAGAAGCACTGGCACACGCCGCTCATCTCGACAGCCATACTTTCATATACCCTGGGCTTGCGCCATGCCCTGGATGCAGACCACATCTCGGCTATCGATCTCATGACTCGTCGCCTAATAGCTGCGGACCAACGACCAGTCACAGTAGGCATGTTCTTCAGTCTTGGACACTCGACGGTAGTGATAGCCACATCTCTCGTCGTTGCCGGTACTGCTGCTGCTGTTTCAGATAAATTTGACAATTTCGAGCGTATCGGCGGTATCATCGGGACGTCCGTGTCCGCAGCTTTCTTACTCCTACTTGGCATCATGAATATGTACATTCTGTATAAACTCATTGTTCAGATGCGCAAGATGATCGCCAGCGATCCCGGAGGCGAACATGAGGAGTTCAAAATTCAGGGTGGTGGATGCTTATTCCCGCTCTTACAAAAGCTGTTCAAGTTAGTCGACCAGCCATGGAAGATGTATCCTCTTGGGGTACTCTTTGGGCTGGGCTTCGACACATCTTCTGAAATTGCCATCTTGGGTATTAGCTCAATTCAAGCAACTAAAGGCACTTCAATATGGCTCATTTTGGTCTTTCCGCTGCTGTTCACGGCGGGCATGTGTCTACTGGATACGACGGACGGCGCACTCATGATGAGTCTATATACGAGTACTCAACTCGCACGCGATCCGATCGCAATTTGCTACTATAGCATTGTCCTCACCGTCATCACTGTCATTGTCGCAACAATTATCGGGACAGTTCAGTTCCTCAACCTGATTCTCAATGTTGCTGAGCCCCAAGGCAAGTTTTGGGACGGTGTAGAAAAGCTGGGCGATGCATGGGATATTGTTGGTGTGTACAATGTTTTTGGTCAATGTGTACCATCGCACTGACATCCCATAGGCGGAGCAATATGCGGTACATTCATCGTCTTTGGTGGCCTCAGTGTTCTCTTATACAAGCCATGGAGACGGCGCGTCGATAACAAGAGAGTTACCAACGCACATTTCGAGCCCTTGTCACAAGATCAGAACACTCCACAGCCTGATGAGGGCGAGTCACGTGACACACAAGAACCGGGTCCGGTACTTGCCAAAATCATGGACGTACATGTGGAGCCTATCGAGACTGCTGAGGCCACTGGTTCTGCATATCGATGATGAGTTCATTTGATCATGATCACAGCAAGAACAAATAGGTGAAAAAATATCTTTAGTTGAATACTAAATCTAGAAAGATCACTTGAGTCCCACGAACCCGAATATTAACAATGCTAAGTAAGCAGCAAAGTTCGCGTAACCAAATCGCTTGTCATTTCCATACTTCGCCTAAGCGCCTTATTCTGAGACCGCGCTGTGAGCTAAGTCATATGGTAACAGTCATCATTGCCACTTACCGGGTTCATTTCTTATCGAACAGCGCCCCGATTTCCACCAAGTCTTGATTCTGGGCGGCGATGTCCTGCTGAGGCGCCACCGTAGCCTGCAGAACATAGGAAGCAGCAGTGCATGCGTGCACGGTGTTCCCATCAGTGTCCCGGGTACAAGAGCAGACCACTGCTGTGCTACAAGAGAAGCTTTATATAAGAAGCGCGTCCAGAGAAGAAAGCGTGGTAAGTAAACTCACGATCTCGTGTCTTCCACAGGGGGCGTAGTATATGATGACGTCCGGTCATCAACTCCAGCCTGCGGCAATGAAGGCTGAATTCTCAAAGCCCGGGACCCATCCTCGATGAAGGGCATGATGAGTTAAAGTCGTGCCAGCTCTATGCTGTCCCGATGAAATAATCTCTTTGGTGGGAAGAGATGGAAGAGGATAACAAAGAAGCACACCGTTGTGGCAGCGAAGATTCGATCCATCTTTATAACTAGACATCAACACAAAACGGGCAAGGCGGCCAGCCTGCCTGTGAAAACAAAACTGCATTCCCAGGTTTCTGTATTTTGTACCTCCGGAGGACTACCGCGAAATATCAACAGATCTTTCGTCAACACGCACAACCCGATGCAAATGATGCAAGGTCAGCGCAAGATTCCGCGCATACAGCGAATCACTAACGAAGATAGAAAGATATGCCCTTCCTTTTTTCCGCGGTTAGGCTTGCGATTGCGCTGCAACCCGGCTGCATCGCCAAGCCTGGTCATCTATAGTAGTTCTCGCCCACTTAGGGCGTGAGTAGAAAAAATAGATTCTAGGACACATGTATAGTGCAGGGGAGGTCAGAAGGAATGCATAATTCAAAAGCCACGGCAATGGGAATTGACGAGAGGTGTGTAACCATAAACCCATAACACAGAATCGCGGTGCTGGGTCACACCTGGGACAATACCCTAGTGCTGCCCTGAGGCTACATCCTGGTCGCATGTCGTACCCCGTAACCTCCCCATAACGTCCCCTGCCAGTCAGCTCTGCACTAGAACCACCACCATCCACCACTGCTTGGCCTGCATGCGAGAGCGATGTTCCTTGTCTCTCCTTGCAGGCACGTTAGTTATGTGATCATGGTGACTGCAGAGGCAGCGAATCGGAGATCGCGGGGGGGGGTGATGACATGGCCCAAAGTGGCGGAAAGGCTGAAAATGGGCGAGGAAGTTTTTAGTCAAACGATGGTTTGTGCAATCTGGAAAACGGCTTTTCGGAGATCAGGGAGCCCTACTGAGCAAGGGAAGGATTACAGGCGAGAAAATGCGGGTTTCGCCCGAAAGGTTGCGGATCATGATCGTGTTAGCTACTCGTCGAACGGGATGTGCTCCCCCCTCTCCATCCAATCACGTCGCAAAGTGATAACTGACCTCAGATTTTGCCCCCGTTGAGGACCTCTTGCTAATAAGCCTGAAAGGTTCCCCGCCCCCACCCGACACCTTCTCTGCAGCAGTGCTTACCACGAACTCATTGCATTCGCGTGGATGGCCAAGCATCGTGAAATTCATTAGATTCGGCTGGACCGCCAAGCATCGTGAAAGTCATCCCATTCGGTTGGGCAGCCAAGTAAGTACGTCCCTTCGAAGTCCCCCCGCCATCGCTTCCGCCCTACCATACGTTCTGAAGTAACCAAAAATGCCGCAACGGCGCCCATCCAGGTTATTGGTTCGATGGCCCCAAGGCAACCTACTAGTACTCATGTCCCAAGACACGGTCGTGTCACGACACGATAGGGGGAGATGGCAAAGTTATCATCGGGAAGTTGGATTTCTGGTTGCTGGATGATTGCACATTGCAGCAGGTCCTCACACATGGCATGGGTATCCATACCTCGATGCATTTTGGGATCAGACGAGAGCGGCATGTGCAATGGAACGTTGGCAGGCAGCAAGAAGGCTAAGATTGTGCTCGCTTTGCTTTCCTGCATTATAGTAGTCGCTTACATTTCTCGTATTTATTTATTTTTTGCTGGCATAATTACTTGCATTGTACTTGCCCGACCTTCATGTATATACCGTGTGACGGGATAAAGAAACGGGCATGCATACTACTACCAGAACTCAATCGCGATGCGCCACCACACGACTGCGACCAACACCCGCGCTGATCCCTGCACACATACATTGAGACATAAGTGTAACGTCATTGTGTGAAGAAGGGAGGAAAACGATTCCACGTGGTGTTATGCCCAATGCAGTTGAGTTAGCCGTGCTTACATGCTGCCCTACTATGCATGCCGCGGCACGGCGTCTAAAAAGGGCAATGTAATCTGACTAGTACCACCTGTTTCCCGCCTCTGCATGCCGCATCTGCTTTTCCGAATCATGATATGAACGGTGAGCTGTCGTGTACAGAATAGCCAATAAGAGCATCAAGCAACTCAATAACAAGCAAAAAAAATAAGGCAGCGACTTCAGGTATTCAGACTAGCATTTGTCTCACCTGCACCATGTATGCAGGATTTATGCAGGCAACTCTTTTGATCTATGGTGCATTGTGCATGAATATTTCGTTGTTCGTTTCCTGGGGCCTGGGGCCTTGGAATACCAGCAGCGTGCTACGCCGGCCCATGTACATACATTCACACATTCGCACATTTCCAGTTACGTTCAAAGTATCCCGACGAATCAAGATTCCCAGGTGGCAATTTTCCAGACCGCCTCTTCAGTGCCAAAGACTCGAAGCGTGTTTCCAAACTCGGCCCAGAATTTGGAATCGAAATGTGGGATGAGTTCCATTGGTTGGCGCTCGACTTGCTCGAGGGGCGTCAAACTCGTGGTGTTCTGCACAGGGGCTGCTGCATTTTCCCACGATTCCAAAGATTGACTTGTTTGGTCGCCCTGTTTTCCGTTTCGGTGTTCTTTCTTTGGTTCAGTCGGCTCGGCTTCTTCATCGTCGGTCGATGAAGGCGCGGTTTCTGGGTTTAATGACATTTCGCTAAGAGCATCAAAGACATTTTTTGTCTGGAATCGTGTTTGCTCTGCTTTCTTGCTGGCTTGTTTGTTCTTTTTCCGCTGCTTCTTAGACGGCTTAGGTTCTGGGTTTTCGACCGGTGGTAACGGGACTGGCTTTTGGACTTTTTCCCGGCCGTCCTTGACAAAATCGGGAACGTTTTCATTCGTAGTAAGGTTCGGCTGGCTGTCTGTGCCATTGGTCGAGTTGTCAAAAAGCGGTGGGAGTATCTTCTCTCCTCTTTCCACGCCTAGTCTAGCAGCTAGTTTGATCATGATGGTGGCAGTCAACAGGCTATCGTAGCCCGCTTCGTGGAAAGCCTCAATGTCCTGGTACTTGGGATGATCGACATGAGTGATGATATCGGGCAAAGGTTGGCTGCTGAGACCTTGTGCAATATCCTGTAAAGTAGGTGACGCGTTTAGATCGCCTTCGGCAAATGTGGCTAGATACTTGGTGTCGATGATTTTAGGGAACAGCTCGTGTATAGAGTCTTGGAAATCGTCTAACGTGTCCTGGTCACCATCATTAGCATAACACATCGACATGGATGGAACTTCTCATGGCGTACAGGCAACTCGCCAACGAATGTGCGGTAAAGATATACAATGTCGGTGAACATGTTATGACCAACGAGAACCGGCTTTCTGGTCTTCAGCCTCTCCATGGCCTTGTCGAAATGAGGGCGTGTATCACTTGTACCCGCCGTTGAAGCCATACCTGTCGTCCGAGCAACGAACAGCAGGTCAGTTCTATTGAGATTGCCACCTTTGACCAGAGCCTCAAAAATCCAACGAAAGCCAGTCTGACGCAATATGGACTCGTCGACGCGATTCTTCATTCGTTGCATGTTTTCTGCTTCGCGAACGGGATCAAGCTGAATGATGCGAACGCATTCTGAGCGACCCATGGTCACTAGGTCAGGGAATTCAGCACGCACGAGTTGATGAACCAGCCGTTTTTCAAAGCGTGTTATGACTGGTATTTTCGGTCGGTCAGGGAGCCCAGTGTGTGTTGTGATATCTAAACCAGACGAAGTGGTGGTCTTCCACTTGTTGATGGCCTCCCTAACGCGACGCATAAAGTCAAGAGACTCGACATCTCCCTCCTTAAGCTGGAGGTCGGGTACAGGGTTCTTCTTCTCCAGACGGTCACACGCCATCTGCTTTGCTTTCTCTGCTTCTTGTCGCGACAAATATTGCACACCGTTGGCAAAGGGCAGGCCCAGATCAAAGCCATTTTTGAGCAAAAAGGTGCAGGCACCACTTTGAAAGCGGATCTCGCGCTCAAAGTCGATGCGCTCATCCAGCAATGGGCTGATGTCGATGTTGTATGGGCGTAAGACGTACTTGTTTGCTATATAGTCGAACCTTGCGCACGTAATCCCTACCTGTAGGATCTGATAGCGATCGGCACCCATCTTGGTTTCGGCATAGCGTTCCTCCATGGTAAAACGTCCGGGGCCGCGCGGGGGTTTATCCTGGATACGGGAAGGGATACCGGAGAGTTCCAGGTCGAACGAGACAAAATCCGCCTCGGCGATGTTAATGAGCATCCACAGGAGGTGGTGAGGGAAGGTAGCTGCGTCGACGTCCATGTTTGTGGGAATGATAGGGATTGCGGTCAAGCAGCATAGGCAGTTTGCAATGACGATATAAGCTTGTAGATGAGGGTGAATGTTGAGGGTAGTAAAGGCGAAGAGGCAGCTGTTGAAAGAGAGTGAGTGGCAAAGCTACTACATGGAGGCAGTTGTGAGACTAAGGTGGTCAGGAGTGATTAAACAGGCATTTCTCAGCCGGTGACTCAGAGCTTGTGGCAAGCAAGCAAACAGTTGCGAAGCGAGTTGATTGCGCATCGCGGCCATGGTGGTAGTACAATGTCTACAGATACAGCATGTATAGCAGAGTGCAGGCATGAGTATATTGCTTGTCACGTGTCGGTGTGCGGAAATGAGGAGAGGGTTGCTCGGCCAGTTGACGCGCCAAGACATGACTGACAGCGAGAAAGCCGAGGTCGAATGTTGTGACGACGCGGAGTGTGGAAATGCACACCACCGAGCCGCGCCCCCCGTCTTTCACCGCTATGAGCCCGTAAACGCCGTCCGGAACTCCTCGCCAGCATTTGTATCGCGTCTTGTAGGGACCATGGCGACTCTCTACGACGATGTCAGCGGGTCGCGCTACCTGTCTACGTCCATCTCGTCGCTGTCGGCATCGCGGCAACAAGCCTCCCAAATCGCCAAAGCCTACCGCCAGGCCGCCCAGCTATTCCTGACGCGCCGCCTGCCAGAGGCCCTCTCCACAATCGAGCCCATTATCACCCCGCCGCCCCTAGACGACATCAATGGCCCCAATGGCGACCTTGTAGGACATGCGCCCGTAGCAACCGCGTCTCGCGGCACCCGGATCAAGGTCTGGAGCTTCTACCTCACCTTCCTGAATGCCGTCATCGAACTGGGCGCCGAAGAGGGCAAGCATGCGTTTGGCAGCACCCGCTGGAAGCAGCTAGTATCCAAGTGCCGCGACGGTAGCATCTGGGACGATGTGGTGCGCGATGGTTATGCTGGAGTCGAGGGTGACGTGGATGCCGATGTTGTTGTGAACCTGTATGCCGAGAGTAGGCCGTGGATGTGATTTCTATACTAACTATCATGCAGAGCCACACTGCTACTCACACATGCTCCCTCCCAGCGCCTCAACCAGCAGAAGCTTGAGACATACCTCTCCGCATCTGCCACGCCTACACTCGATATCGCCTCCCACATGGCCTCGCCGTCATACCAAGAGAAGCGCCCCGGTCACCACAGACAGCATACCGGCACAGACACCCCGCGCGACCTTGAAAAGCGCATCAAACTGCTCGAACTATACACGCTACATGTCCTGCCCCGTAACGACGAGTGGGACTATGCCCGCGAGTTCATCAGCATGTCAGAGGTCCTGGATGATGAGCGCAAGGAGGCTTTCCTACTCGCTCTACACTCACTCAAGGAAGAAAAGGAGGACACCGAGGCAAGGGAGGAGAAGCTGCGCCAACAACAACAAGAACAGATGGAGCAACGCCGCAGAGAAACTGAGGCAAGGCGTCTTGAACAGTCTCGCGCAGAGGACGAGCGCCGGAAACGCGAGGAAGAAAACCGCCGCCAACCCCGAGGCTCAGACGAACGTTTCCGCAAGTCACAACCTACCCCTCAACCCGTCTCTTCGCAATCTTCTCGAACATCTCGCACTCCACCCAAGAAATCCATGAGTCCTCCACCGGGTTTCTACAATCGCGCCTCCACCGTGCTTGCCAATATCCAAAACCTGATATCTAATACTGCACATTCCATGACTGCAAATCCAATGGCTTTTTTCCGCACCCTCCTCTTCCTGCTCGCATTTGGCCTTGCTTTCGGCAGACGGGACCTCCGAGAAAGGATAATGAGGATCATACGTAATGCTTGGGACAAGGTCCGGCGCACCGTCGGCATGGGAGTAAAGGTTTCCTATATTTAATATGACGCAGTTTTTTATTATTATTATTCATAGTTCGTGGGAAGCATAAGTGAGGGGAGAAAACGGAAAGATGGTCTCTTTTCTATGTTCTTTTGGTTGGGTATGCATGCATCTCCTATGTATTGATATCGTGTACAAAAATTCCGTGGGCATGTGCCTGCGTTCAACCATGATGCATACTGCCTGTTTTCTGACGTCATGTGTAATTGCCTTCGAACCCATGTCTGGCTCTAGGAAAGCACGGAAAAGAGAAAGGCGCTTCAAGCACTTTTCTTCGCAGACTTGAGCGTCTTGCTCCTCTGCTTCATCATATACGTGTACATTGTATATGAACCTACATCACAAGTCAGCAACCCACAGCTTTCTCCAATTTCTCTTGGATACACCTCTCAACTTACCAGGAACATACAACGCAAGACAAAAGTAGAAAAACGGCGGAATCAACCCGTTAATGCTTGCCGCAGGCTCAGCAGCTCGGTACAACAACCACCACTCCGCTCCAATACCCACTGGATACAGCGGGTAGAACATCGTATACCTGTTCTCCCATGTCAGTCTCCTGTCATCCCCTTCAAACTACTCACTAAGCAAAGGAAAGAAGAAAGGAAAATGTACCTAAGCCAAACGAGCCATCCTGGCGCCCTACCATGCATGTTCAACGCGAGATACAAATACCGAATGGTATCTGCCGTCGACCACGCTAGCAAGAGTGCTAAGTAGGCATTTGACGATGCAGTGCTGGTGGGGAAACAAAACCATACCATCCATACTTGGATTACGCGCGTGACGACTTGCAGGGCAGTAGTGCTGACGGGGGATTTAATAAGGCCTGATTCATTCTTGTTAGCTTTCGAGTCCGCTTGAGTCTGAATTGAGGGTTGATTTAGTTTAATTTAGTTTGGTCTAGCCAGAAAATGAATTGGGAAAGGAGGAGGAAAAAAAAGGAGGTTACCAAAAGCAGCATGCAGCACTTCAATCAACGAGGCTGTTTGGATCCAGCGGGCGTGAGGTTCCGTAGCACGAAAGAGGTCGATGCGGGAAGAGGTTAGGGCGTGGGATGTTGCGCGGATGAAGATGGATGCCCAGAGGGAGGCGAAGACGAGGTTGTAGGATGTTAGGTAAATGAGGCGGATTTGAGAGGGTGGTGCTTGTTTTGCGTGTAGGGGGCGTTGGGTTGCCATTTTTTTCCCTCGATCTTTCTTTGTACCTCTTGTCCCTTGCTCTTTTTATTAGAAAGTTGGTGTCTGTGGATTCGAGTGTAGTGTGGTAGTTGACTTTGTATTGCTTGCACAGACTAGAGAAAATTGTCTGTCAAGATCTCCAAGCCGCATGTGGATGCGCTTGAGCCGAGGCTATCTCACTTTTTCCCTTTTTTTCTTGGTAAGATAAACGGCGCGGGCCGCTTGTCAAAAAGGGTATCTTTCCGAGAGCAAAACCTCCTTGTGTTCGGCGCCATGTCGTGCTTTGTTCTTTGTTCTTTGTGTGAGGTGAATATGTCGCTACGTCGTGATTTCCAGGGTCTTGCTGTTGTAAGGATCGAATACAAATGGCCAGGGCTTCGCGAATAAAGTTTGCTAGGTAGGCTAGCTGCGCGACCAATCAGCGAGGGCATGAACTGATGTTATTGGGCAGGAGCGGAATCTCGCTTTCCTATTTTGTTTACCTGTGTAGCATTGCTATATTGCGTTGTTTGGTTATCCCAAAAGGGGTATATAGAGACGCAGCTCAAGGTAACACAGGGAAAGAAAAGACGAGATACAATGCCCTCGCCAATGCATAGAACTGCTCAAATCTTGTGGAAACATCGCCGTCAGTGTGTTTGTTCGCACCTTCCGCACATCGCCTTGCGGTACTCGACATTGTCACGTGTCGCGATCCCCGCTAATCACGCCCTACCGTCAACATCCAAATTCTTCGACTAACAACATAAAGCCAAGCACCGCATCCTGACAGGAACTTATCACTGACAATGTCCTCACCTATCCATCACCTCGTTCTGCCACGCCCAGGCGCCAAATCTCCACTATCAAACTCGCCAATCTCTGCTCCTGCTGAGGAATCTTTCACGTCTGCTTTCGGCACCCTGCTCCCACCGGTCCGGTATCTCACCACCAACAATGCAAGAGCTGCGTACTACTCAATACCTCCATCCTCATCTCCAGAATCAGACACAAAATCGCCGGAGCGTGTGCTATTTATCCACGGCGTGCAGACTCCCGCTTTAGGCATGCTTCCGTTAGCTCGCAAGCTACATGCATCTATTCCCTCGGCGCATTTTGTACTGATTGATTTATGGGGCCATGGACTGAGCGATACCCCAGTTGCTTCTCATGCGGCGGGCCTATTCCATGGGCTGATTGACACGCTACTGGATCATCTGGAATGGTCGTCTGCACACTTTGTAGGCTTTTCCTTTGGCGCATCATTGACAGTTGGCTATGTCGCATCACGGGCTTCGCGTGTCCAAAGCTATGTGTTGGTTGCACCTGCAGGGCTTGTCAAGAGTTCTTCTTTCACACCGGCTGAACAAGAGCATTTCCAACATGACTGCGACGAGGATGCCACGCGGCAATGGGTCACGGCCTGGCTCGAGGGCGGAGAGCTAATCGTCCCATCGGATTGGAAAGAAAGAGTTGCACGGGGAGAAGTAGTCGCCGAAGCTGTACGTGAATGGCAAACCCGCAATCACCCCGGGCATACGGCATCGGTGGTCGCTATCGTCCGGGACGGCGGTGTGGTGGATAATCATCAGAGTTTCGAGAAAGCGTTGGCAACTGAGGTACCCTCAACTGTGGTGTTGGGAGAGAAAGACGATTTGTGTACAGAACAAGAGCTACGAGACTTTGGCTTCGATAGTGTTTTCGTCGTTCCAAATGCTGGACATAGTGTAGTGCGGGACAGAGTACCGGAGGTCGCCGGGTTCATTATTGAGTTCTGGAGACGATAAAAGGAGAAGTTACGCAATACACCTCTCACGTCAGCGCCTCCATAAGATATGAAATCCGGGTCCGAATATTCTTGACCGCTATTGTCTGGACAAAGCATTCTGTTGAGTCGATTTGTAATGCTATTATTTCCGCTCAACCCGTCGTCCACTCAAGAAGCCAGCCGGCTACTACTCAAAAAATGGCGCTGGCTCCAACCAACTCAAGCTACCCAAAAAGCATTATACCGCTCACTGCACGGGTGTTGGAGGCGCCCCAGCACCAGATGGCGTGTCAAGCACGGACAATGACAGTCAAAAGGCGTAATGCTTACCACCAAGCCAATCGGGATGGAATCGCATAAAATACCGGAACCTTATCTTAATGGTATGAGAGATTTGTTTCGTAAGCTCCGAACGCGGAGAAGGAGGACGTTGGCAGAAAGTTGCGGGGTACCCACGCGCAGTTGGAGTAGCTTTATGCTTGGCTTGTGTAAGGCTACCTTTGGGGCGTGAGTGGGGCGAGAGCAGGGGCGCCACACACGTTATCTGCATGTCGGTACAAGGCAGAGAGGCATGCCAGCCCAGCACGTTGCACAGCAACGTGCCCCACAGCCATGAATTGCTTTTTGTCCGTGAGCTCGATTTTGTGCTGGCAAGACGAGTGGCTACATTCATAATCGCCGTGGGTGGATCTGCACACTAATGCCGCTCCAGATTCAACACCCTTCTGTCACGTCACGGCATCCACCTGCCGCTTCGGGCTAGAATCGGTCGAAGTGGTATCTGGTTTATCGAGCACAAGCATTGCCTCTAAGCCCCCCGCGCGGCTATAACAATGCTTTAGGCTGCTTGGTGGACTGCCATTATCCTGCAACTTGACCCTCTTGCAATCCACGAAGCCAAGCCGTGGTAGAAACCAACATGCACTTTACAATAGTAGCTGGCTGCATCGGTGCCGCAGCAACAGTAGCAGGTATACGACTTGGTGGATCATATGCCGACGTCGACGTCCAGGGCATTGCACGCAACGACATTGAAATCTTCCTGGGTATTCCATATGCAAAAGATACCAGTGGCGAAAACAGATTCAAGCCTCCGATTCCCTACGAATACGCCCCAGGCGAAGTCATCGATGCTACAAAACCAGGTCCTGCTTGCCCGCAGCCGCTGGGCCAGCTCTTTGCGCCTCTTGGACTGGACAACATTACTGAAACGTCTGAGAACTGTTTGAACTTGAATGTGGCGAGACCCAAAGCCGAGGATCGAGAAGGCAAAGGACCACTACCAGTGCTTGTATGGATACACGGCGGATCTTTCTGGTGGGCAAGCAATAATGAACCAACAACAGCTCCCGATGGCATGATCAAACAGTCAGTAGAAAACGGATCGCCCATTATGCACGTAGCCATGAACTACCGACTGGGATTCTTTGGCTTCGCAACCTCGGACTCGCTCAAAGAAGAGGGGAGCATGAATGCCGGGCTGCGTGATCAACGTGCTGCGATCGAGTGGGTTCGAGACAACATTGCTGCGTTTGGTGGGGACCCGGAAAGGATTACCATCGCCGGACAGTCTTCCGGTGGTCTGGCCATCGGCATGCATATTTTGGCTTATGGTGGGGAAAAGCCACTGCCTTTCCAGCAGGGCATTGCGCAATCACAGTCTCTTGAGCCAGGTATTACGGGCACGTTTTCCAGGGATGCAATGACGGCCGTCATCGGCTATGTTGGATGCAATACGACCAAATTCGATGCACCGGAAACGATTGAGTGCTTGCGTGCCTTGGACACCGAGACGCTTTTCAATGCCTCCGAGGCAACGTATCAGAGCGACATCGCGCACAATATTGGTGATATCTGGTTGCCTCAAGTAGACGGCGATTTTCTTCCAGCTCCCCCTAGTCAGCTGATCGCAGAAGGTCGTTTTGGAAATGCGACATTCATGTCGGGCTGGATGGAAGGCGATCTCAACGTTTACACAAACACATCGATTGCAACCGATAAAGACACGTACGACTTTATCCATGGTTATCTACCAGGTATGTCAGAAGAATTGCTCACCGAGCTGCTCGATCTGTACCCTGTGGAAGAATTCGGGACCAGCCCAAACTTGACACAGGAATTCTACCGCTCAGCTCGCATCTTCCGTGACATTCTAATGGTATGTCCGTCGCTTCACCTCGGATCAGCGATTGAGGAGAAGTACGAAGGCTCTGTGTACTTTTACAACTTCAATCAGACCATTCTTGATCCCATCCTCGAGCAGGTCACGAATATCTCTGGGTTCGGCGTAGTCCATACATCGGAGTTTGCGTACATTTTCGATAGTATGCACGTATACAATGATTCGGGCTATACTGTCCATCCCACCGCCTACGACTATGAGGTTGTCATGCGAGCGAGCCGGTCTTGGAGCACATATGTCAGCCATGGCGTGCCAGCACTGGATACCCCTGGATCGACAACGTTGCTGAACTGGGACGAGGCTTTTAGTCGACCTGGTGGACCATATGTAAGGACAATTGGGGGCTCGCATCCAAGCAACAGTGCGTTGGGGACGGCGAACGCGACGATTGAATTCTCACAGCAGAGGCTACAGGAACGATGTGCGTTTTTCAATAGCCCAGAGGTAATCCGGGCGTTGCAGTATTAATAAGTAGCGTGACCGGGCGCGGGGTAATGGTAGAATGTTGTACATAGATACGTAGGAGATGCCGAATACAGAAGACCCATTATACGACGAACAGAGCCTAGAAAACATGAGATCCGGTACTAATACCCCAACTCGCGGCTCGGTCCGTCCTCTTGCAGTGTAAAGGGACCAACAGCCCCGCTACGCCTTCTTCTCCACATCCTTCTCTTCGCCCTTGCCCCCCTCCGCCAACCCCAGAATAAACTCCCACTCCTCCTTCCTAACCCTACAAACACTCAACCTTGAATTCGTAACAAGCTGCATATCCCTCAACGGCCCCCCACCCCCCGCAAACCCCTTAATCTCATGCAAATCCACAACCCTTTCAAACTCCTTCACAAACTCCACGCCTACACAATACCACTTGGGATTATCACGCTGCGACTTGGCATCATAGTACGGATCCTTGGGGTCAAACGCCGTCTCATCGACGAAGGCTTCTTGCACGACGCGCAGGATGCCGACGACACCTGAGGGCTTGGCGTTGGAGTGGTAGAAGAAGCCTAGGTCGCCTTTGCGCATCGCTTGCATGTTGTTGCGGGCTTGCGGGTTGCGGACTCCAGACCAGGGCTCGGGCGATGTGCAGGCGCGCAGGTCGGAGATGGAGAAGGCGACGTTGATGCCGTTTTCGTAGCGTGGGAGGGGCTCGGCTTTGAGGAGCCAGAAGACTTCCTGGTTGCCGTTTGCGTCGCGGTTGGAGGGTGAGGTGGGTTCGGGTGGTGATGCGGGTTTTGATTTGGATGTTGCGGGTTCTGAGGTTTTGGGGGCTTTTGCTGGGGCTTTCTCCTTGGTTGTACTCGCTTTGAATGCCTTGGATTTTGAGGGAGCAATTTTTTTGGGCGGTGGTTGGCTTGCATCTGCTACGTCGTCGTCGTCTTCATCTTCGCGGGTACGCTTTCGACGCGTCGACTTGGTCGTACTGCCTTTCGATTGTGCTTCTTCAGCAGATGATGATAGATCTTCATTATACTTTGGTGCTGCAGACGCTTTTTGGCGCGTCGAGCTTCGGGTTCCAGCCATAATGAGGTTGTGATTGTGATGTAATGCTCATGGAGTCTGCTGATGTCGTGCGACGTGAACGCGCCTCGGGATGGCCCGATTGCCCTTCACCTTCCTACATCATCAGGGCCTTTCTCTCCACCACGTACACATCGAACATCTACACACAATGCCCACCACAAGGCCCACAGCAAAATCCGACGAGGATACGCCGAAAAAGGTCCGTCCTGTCAAGAACATGACTGTCGAAGAGCGGGACATTGCAATCAAAATGTTGAACGAGGGCTGCAGTAATGCTGAAGTTGCAGCGCACTTCAATCGCGATCCTGCGACTATCCGGAAACTGCGCAAGAAATACTCCAGCACCAAGTCGACAAAGGACAAACCTCGTAGCGGTCGCCCGAAGGTATTGTCGCATCAACAGGAGAAGCTCCTATGTCGTGCAGCTCGCCGCCCAGGGCCAAGGATCACATACAAGGAGCTCACCGAGGCTGCAACCGTAGTACAGCCTGACGGGACTACTTTGAAGCCGCCATCTACAGCAACGTTATATAGGGCGCTCCGTAGTCAAAATCTAGTGACCCCGCGCTGTAAGAGGTGAAGCCTGGTCCGTGTTTCTCGTATATTAGGGCAGGGCTTTGCATGGTTGTAAATGGATGCCGGTATGCCGATACACTGGTATACCGTAATACCGGTATGCTGGAGTAACGAGGCCGAACATATCCTGTCGAGCGCACGCTCTACTTTCTGCTTTTGTTTACCAAGGAGACGAGTGGATCCGCGATTCTACATGGTGCTGCATCTATTATACGGTACGTACCCACAAGCCTCGGTAAAACGCCACATCGATCGCCGCCTACGAACAGATGACCCAGATAACGGGTGAAAAAAAGACGGAATACAACTAATAATAATGCTGAATGCAAAGGGCACATAATGCGAAACCTCGGGATCTAGTATTGTTTTCGTAAGAAGGGCCGTACTGATGCGGGCTCCAATGAGTGGAAACTAGTGGTTTAGGGTCTGTCCATACAGCTTGCTGCCCCGCGCGGTCTTCTATCCTCAACTGTATGTCCTACGACCAGAACCACCTTGGCGTTTAAGCTATAAAAATGGCTCCATGTCGTGTTTCCATACCTTTGAGTTACTCATCAACCTGCATCAACACGAAGTTTCTTGCAAAAGACAAAACGCATCATGGACGGCTTCGATAAGAAAACACTCAAGACCTCTCGAGGCTACACATACACCTACTATACCTCTGCTGGCGACTCTTCGCTCCCAACTCTCCTCTTCCAACATGGCTTTCCAGACCACGCTGCCATGTGGCAACAAGTTGCAAGCGGGGTGAAGTCGCTCAACCACCCCATTATTATCCCAGATATGCTTGGCTACGACGGAACCGACAAGCCCACGGATCCCGCAGCATACAAGTTCGAGCACATGACCAAAGACATTATCGAGATTCTCGATGCCGAAGGCACGCAAAAATGCATTTCCATTGGCCACGACTGGGGCTCGATGTTTGCCTCGCGCCTATACCAATACTATCCTGAGCGCGTCGTCGGCCTGGTAAACATGTCTGTCCCGTACACACCATTGAACCCCGCCCCCTACAATCTCGAGGCGACCAACGACCTAACGGAGAAGCTTCTCGGATACGCAATGTTGAGCTACTGGTACGTTTTCGCAGCCCCAGACGGCAGCGCTATCCTCGAACGCAATCTCGACCTCACCTACGACATCATGCATGTCAACGCCGACCTCATGAAGACCATGTTCTGCACACGAGGTGTCCTGCGCGACGTCCTAGAGGGCAAAACAAAGTACGACCTGACTCCCCGTCCATTTGCGCAGGACCCCGCTCTCAAAAAGACGTTCGTCGACCGCATGCGCCGCGACGGCTTCGAGGCCCCCACATGCTGGTACAAAGCCATGGTCAAAAACATCCAGTCCGAGAGCGACGCCCAGATTCCCCAGGAACGACAAAAAGTCACCGTCCCCACGCTGTATTTTGGCGGCACAGAAGATGCCGTCTGCAGACAGGAAATGATGCACGGTGCTATCCAGGCTGGGTGGCTGCCGCACCTGGAGAACGCGGGCTTGATTGAGGCGGGGCACTGGTTGCCGTATGAGACGCCGAACGAGGTCATTGGCAAGTTGGAGCCGTGGCTGAAGAAGAATTTTGCAAAGTGAGAGCGGGAAGGGGAGGTGAAAGATGTGAAAGTCGAGGGAGCATGAGATTATGTTATCCTGAAACGAAACGAAATAAAAAATAAAAAATAGATGAATACATGAAATCAATAGAGAATCAATCATGAAATTTCGAATTTGAACTACAATCAAATTAGTGCACTAGGCATCCTTCTCCTCGAACCTCTTGCTCAAAGCAAATCTCTAATACATTCCCCTTCTTAAACAGGCACAACATGATTAGCAGGAAACAACTTGCCCACCCCACAATAAACGCCCCAGTACCAATCCCCATTAATATCCGCCGCCTCTCTAATCTCCGCTCCGCGTGGAAACGCCAACTCATCATCGACCCCGTCATCGGGCCAATACGCCCAGCGCGCCAATAACCTCAATCCGAGTCCTCCATCCGGCGGCACACGCATGACCCTTGCCATATCCTCTTCTTTCATTGCATAACCACCCACAAGATCCTTCACCACAATGCGTCGCTGGGCGCCATCGCGATCCTCAAACCCGACCACGTACATGCGGTGGGAGCGCAGACACTTGCGCCAGCCGGATACGCCGTCTTCCTTGGGGATGCGGCCGCTGACGCTGAGTTTGTGGTAGCAGCTTGTGCAGATGTCGTAGTCGCCGGCGTTGCATTTGAGGCAGTGGAAGCGTGTGTTGGAGGGGGCGATGGGGTAGCGGCATACGTTGCAGAGCGTGGTGAAGGTTAGCGGACGGAAGATGGAGTTTGCGATTGTGAAGTATCCTGGGCCGCGGGCGAGGGAGGCGGATTTGGGGGTTAGGGGGGCGGCGAGAGGGGTTGTTGTTTCTGCTGTATCTGAGGAGGGTGGTGCTAGATGTGAGGGTTCTAGGCGGGGGGTGGAGGGAGTTGAGGGAGTGGCGTCGGTGGTTGAGGATTGCGGTTCTCGAGCCTTCTTTGCGACGGGGACGAGGGGGTGAGTGCAGTGGCGGCCTTGGTTTACGCAGTCGTTGCAGTAGCCCCAGTCGCCTTCGTTGCAGTAGTCGCATTTCCAGTAGCAGGCATTGGCGTAGGCTTTGCAGTTTTCGCAGAAGACGCCGAGTTCCACTCGCTGCTTGGGATCGTCTTCGCTCATTAGGACGTGCGGTGGGGTGCTGGATTCTGTGAGTGGTGTCATGGGCCGTCGGTATCGACGCCCGATTAGGATGTGAGGGTGCTCGTGGTTGGGTGGATAGCCTCCTTCGGGTGCTTCTCGCTCATAACGAGGCCATGCCGTCCAGCCAAATCCAAACCAATGCTTACAGCCTTTGCCGAGGCGGTAGCAGCGGACGCAGATGCTATACTCACCTCCATCGCAGCGGCTACAGTTGTAGTGTAACTCATACTGAATGTCACTCTTGTTACAGCGCTGGCATGTAATGTTGGGCTCGTTGTAGAAAACGGGCGCAATTGAAGAAGCGGCCGAAGTTTGCCTGGATCGAGGCAGTGGAACAGTCAAGTCTGTGGCGGAGCGAGAGATTGGGGGTGAAGCTGTTGGTGGAGTGTTACTGTTTGAAGCACGTGGCAGTGTGACACGAGCGGGATCGGTTGTGCGACGCGATGTTGGCGGGTGGAGAGGCGTGGCTGCAGGTGTTAAGGATGAGGAAGTAGGTACGGCTGTAGTTCCTACAGTAGCTAGAGAGCTAGTTGGACTACCACGACCTGGTATGTTGAAATCTGGCAGTTGAGGCGAACTAGGATTCGAGCTCGCGCTGGATTGCACACTGTCGCGGAACTGTTGGCGGGCATCCAGCCGGCTTCGTTGCTGATTGTCTGACTGGCGGCGGCGTGCTGGAGGTGCGGTCTCTGATGCCGATACCCGTTCACTACTACTGTTATTTTGCGAGTTTCCAATGGCCGAGTTTGCATTCGGACGTTCAGTTCTTGTGGCTGAGCGGGAACTGCCTTGGCTTGATGACCTTTGTCGCGGTCCCCGCCCACCGCGGTTGGCAGCATCAATTAGGCCTGGTCGTGATATTGGAGGTCGTAAAGTAGATTGTGGAATTGAAGATCCGCTTTCCGACCGGCCATGGTGTCTTCTTCGTTGTACATCTTCCTCCCGTAGACGAGGACTGCGCAAGGGCTGAGGAACAAGCGGGGATGATGTGCTGGTAAGACCTTCTCTTGCTAGGCGCTCTCTCCTTTGCCTTCTTTCGCGTTGTCGCTCGGCCTGTCTGTCTGCCTGTCGTCGCCGCACTGCTTCAGCAATCCTCTCTGTGATTTCCTCCTCCTGTGCGGTGCCAATCTGGTTCAAATCAAACCCCTCTGATACAAGCTCCTCCAGCACCTGCCGCACAAGGTCCTCGTCCACCTCGTCAGCATCAAGATCGGACGAACTCAGCAACGAGCGCAAACTCGACTGGTGCTCAACAGCCCTGGGCGGTCTTGCAGATGCAGCTGAAGGGTTCCTGCTGGTTGGGTGTCTTGTGTCTCGACTTGCACGCGAGTCGGTGCTAGTAGCGCGGCTTCTTTCTCTCCTCCTGCGCTCCCGGGATGGTCGCAGGTGGTTGTTGTTGCCGCCTGATATGCCCGCATCTCTCAAGCTCAGTTGCTGGGCCTCATCCAACATGCGCTGATCCACGTCATCACGCTCGTCTCGTCGCCTGAGCTTTGGAAGCACATTGTCCCCGGGCTTGTATTTATTCCGGTCCGCCTGTTTCTCTTCCTCGGTCTTGCCTCTTTCCGGATTGGCTTTTATGAAGATGTCGAGGAGGGTGGTAACGGTCGCATTAGGCTGTGTGGTGCGCACCGAGGCGCGGCATGACGGGCAAGTGTATGGGTGTATCGATGTGGCCGTAGAGGCCTGGAAGGCGAACCATTCCTTCAGACATGCGCCGCAAAAGGTGTGAAGGCAATCAAGAAGCGTCAACGGCTGGTAGAGAAGGTCGGTACAGATCTGGGCAGGGAACCGTTAGCAGGCGTAGCCCTACGGCTCGGCAGGCCCAGACGGACAGCGAAAAGAAGAAACGAGAGATCCGGGTCTTAAAGTCTCTCTACACGTCCATACGCCCAGCGACACCCTCTTAAGGCACTGCAACCGTCGCCAGGCCTGGCTTAACACAATGTCGGCCATGCCGCATTCTCGCTGGGCCGCTCCCCACCTTTGCGCCGCCATGAAACCTGAACCTGAACCTGAACCTCGACTTACCGAGCAAGTTAATTCCTTCTCCAGGTCGCTATGTACTCCGCCAGCGCGCTCGCCCTCAGCCATTTTTCGGTGCAAACGAAATGTCGTGAATGAGCGTCATGAGCAGCAGCGAGGTTGCGGTCTGGCTAGCTAGCTGAGCTGTGTGCGGTCAGCGACTCGATGCCACCATGCACTTGGCGAGGCACTGACTTGGGTGAGGGGACGTGTCATAGGCTGCCAGCGCATGTACGATTCCACAGCGACGCCGCCCGCCCAAGGAAATCAGATCCCCGTCCGCATTCTGCATCCTCTATATGTGGGCCGCATGCAGCGAGCGTCGGCATCTTGCGAAGCGGCATGTCACGCGAGTTGGTGTCGTACTAGCACGTACTGGCTGCGCGATGCCGGCATGCTCCAAGCACCAACGTTGGTAGTACTACTTACAGGGCATGTGGGACTACTACCTACTTAGCCTGGCCACTCTGCTGACCAGCACATGACAAAAGCCTGAAAGTATTTGTCTTGATGGACCATAGCCACTGCAGGCCCCTCATACTCGTCCCGTCTTGAACTCGACGCTTGGCGACCCCATCAAGCTTTCTAGTCCTGCCGCACATCATGTTTTGTGCATCGTTTCGGCTGTACCACAATCGGCAGGGCACCAGCTCCTGATCAAAGCACATCCCAAACATAGACCACTCCACGGGCGCCACCGGGTACATGTCATCCGGGAATATCAGGTATCCAGATTTCCGGGCCTGAGGTTTCGAAACCTCAGGCAAACGACCGCAATATCGCCGAACCTGGACTTCTACAAGGCCACGATATCCCTGGTATGGAATTGAACGTCACTGTATAGCTGGATACTGTAAGACTCCTCTCTTGTCTGTCCCTTCAGTAAGGTGTTGCATACATTATGATACATATAAACATCATGTGCTGAGTCCTCTTGTCTTTTTTTCATATCTTTCTAGAGCTTGGTTAAAAGTCATGTCAAACTCGCTCAATTGAATCGCTACATATCACCTGCCAATACACGAGGTAAAAGCAACTTGAACATGCTTCCATCTATGAATTTTTTTTAATGAAAAGAGTAAATCTCATTGCCGAGGAAATAACCCGGCCTCGACCTGCATTCCATGCTCCACAACATCCTTGCATTTATCAGCCTCCTGGCTAATCCTCGGCGAGCACTTTGCCCGTATAATGCTTGTGCGACGCCACCCACACTTGACCCTTTGAACCACGTACCTCTTGGCACTGAACAATGGTAAGCTGAAATTTGAAATTCACTCTGTGGATTGGACTTCAGTTTCTGATTTGGTTCCCGTGTTCAGAACTGGAGGATGTATGGTTTAAACCAAGAACCAGCCGTTGCATATTAGGAAAAGAAAGGAACTTCCATGTCGTCTCGACATGGAATTGCTTTACAAGCGAAAACTTCTCATCCTTTTAGGTTTTCTAATGTACATATATTAGATTCATCTGGAATTTTACGCCCTTATGCTATGACCAAGAGGTACCTATATTGTACTGAGTTGTATCTTAAATGGAAGTACTACCTACAAACCAATTGGTCTCACTTGTATGCATTGTATATTCTTGATATACAGAGACCATGAAGTTTTGATAGAAATCAAATCCTAGAAAGGCAATTTCGTTATACACAGCAAAAAATCACTTGAGTTCTTGCACACAAGTGTGCTGCGTAATATTTTCTTTTGCATCTCATTCCCACTGTGCCAGTCTGTGTTGGTAGAATTCCTACTATAAGCTATACGAAGGTCAGCTAATACAGAGGAGCTCGAGAACACACTTCAACTTCCATAATCTTGATGGGTTATATACGTGCCTATTTGACTACCGTAAGATATAGGTATATATCGATATCTCGGCTCAACTTCGCTCGGTTGTATCTCAGCCTCATGTACCTATACTACTGAAGCTATTTACATTCTCAATACATGTCAAGGATGGTATATCATCTTATTCTTCTTTCTTAGAAGTCAATATTGCGAAATCACACAATCACACAAGCAGCAGCAAAAGAAAGTAAACTTCGGCAGGCTAATACCCTTTATATTCGCCATTGTCCAGCATCTCACAACTGACAATAACTACAAAGCTATAGACATTTATATATATACTCCACTCGCCACCGTCCATTACATCCCCTTCTTAAAAAAGAAAAAAAAAGACAAGGCTTATTTACATACTAAACGAGAGTGAAAACGTGATGTGACCTGCATAACACGGTTGGACTCCCCCCTGTTTTGGTTTGTTTCCACCTTGGATGTTTCCATGCCCCCCCTCTCCCACTCTGGGCATGTTGTTTAGGCTGGAATACCCTTAGTTACGGCCCTGGCGGCCACCGGCAGCAGCGCCAGCGGCGGCACCGTTAGCGGCCTGGCCCTGAGCGCCAGCTTGTCCTTGAGCACCAGCTTGGCCCTGAGCACCGGCTTGGCCCTGAGCGCCAGCCTGTCCTTGAGCGCCAGCCTGTCCTTGAGCAGCCTGGCCCTGGGCACCAGCCTGTCCTTGAGCAGTCTGTCCCTGAGCAGCCTGTCCTTGCTGAGCGGTCTGCTGTCCTTGCTGAGCGGTCTGCTGTCCTTGCTGAGCGGTCTGCTGTCCTTGCTGAGCAGTCTGCTGTCCTTGCTGAGCAGTCTGCTGTCCTTGCTGAGCAGTCTGCTGTCCTTGCTGGGCGGTCTGTTGTCCCTGCTGGGCAGTCTGTTGTCCCTGTTGGGCAGTCTGTTGTCCCTGCTGGGCGGTCTGTTGTCCCTGCTGGGCAGTCTGTCCCTGAGCCTGACCCTGAGGAGTGGTAGCTCCAGCAGTGCCGGCAGTACCAGCGGTTCCGGTAGTGCCAGCAGTGCCAGCGGTTCCAGCGGTACCAGCGGCACCAGGAGTGGCACCGTTCTGGACTTGACCGTTACCAGTTCCCTGGGCAAGAGCCTGGGCAGCAGCGAAAGCAGCTGCAGGGCTACCTGCAGGCTGGCCGGGCTGGGTAGGACCAGCTCCCTGGACACCGTTGATGACACCAGTCTGGTTGCATGCGGTAGGGCGGACAGCCTGGCTGGAAGAGCCGGTGGAGGCCATGTAGGCATCGATGTTGGGGAGAACGTTGACACAGCGGTTCTGGTTGATCAGGTCGATGTTGCCAGCGGCAGCCATACCCTGGATGGACATTTGCTGGAGCTTGTCGACGACATCCTGGAAAGCACCGCCAGTGGCGAGAGTGCTGTTGGCAGCAATGACGTTGGGGTCAGCGCTGTTGGCAGCGTCGATGACGGCCTTCTGGTTGAGCTCGTCAACCTCGGCGTTGTAGGCAACAGTAGCGGCCTGCTTGAACTGGACGTTGTTCTGGATGCTGGCACCGTTGTTGAGGAAGTTGGAGACCATGGAGGTGTCGGCCATCCAGTTGGAGACGGCAGTTGCGAGATCGCCGGCGGTAGGGGTTTGACCGTTGGCGATACCCGCACCCTGACCGGTGGGGTTGTTGGGGGTGGTTGCCGGCTGGGCGTTGGGGTTCTGCTGCTGGACCTGAGCGTAAGGAGCAGCGTAAACAGCGGAGGTGAGGAGAGAGGCGACGAGAATGTACTGCATGATGGCGGTTGTTAAAATGTATCGAAAGCGATGGAATATAATTATGTAGAAGTTGTAATAAGTAAGTGAGAGATGCTGGAAGACGAAAATAAAAGATATTAGCCTGTTAGTGATTGAGGAACCTGTCCGATAATGACTCTCTGGGTGGAGGGACAAGCGATACTTATACTTGCTCAGACCCGCCTTCTGGAGAGGGTCTCACGAGACGTAAAGGCGACTGGCATCGCAGTAGTGTGGAGATGGAACGAGTTAGATGCCAAGCTTCCGCAGACATGCCGGAGAGTTGGTGGAGTGCTCGATGCTAGAGTTTCGAAGCATGCTGGTGTTTGGTGCGCTACGCTTCCCCAGGGCCTAGACGCAAACCAAACGAGCGCCGGTTGTCCTGAATCATGGCCAGTTCCGGTCTGTTTGCCAAGGTTATTATGCTGTGTCCTAACACAGAATTAGTCACTAACGTTTGGCATGCCGATGTTGCAGTTTTGGCGCCGTCTGGGAAAAGGTTTCGAAGGCCTTGGCGCACTAAGTAGCCTTCACGCGATAGCGGGAGATCACCGGATTTTGTGTCGAAACCTGGTCCCAACTGACCCCACATTACGCCTGGATCGACACAAGCGTGCCACAGGTTTCCAAATGCTTATCATGTTTCTCTGCATGGTTACTTGCGGTCACTAGTTGCAGAGGTGATCATTTGTAAGTTGTACAACAATACCTCATCGACAATCCTTAGTGCATAAGCAACACTAGTAGAATCTCATCTTTCAAATGTTGCCTTCGTAGTCCTGTACTAGTAGTCCAGGACGAGGCGGTGACAAAGTTAGTTGACTCGAGGCTGCTTCGCGTCAGAATCCCCAAGTACACGCTGATACGCGCTAGAGCGGAACAGCACGTGATACAGCACAAATACTTTATGCAGTGGTGATAAAACGTCAAGATTAACCGTCAGTTTCTAAGCAGTGCCTCCCTGGAGCCCCTGCAGCACCTATACAAATCGTTTCGTGTGTAACATAGCAGAACAAGATAGGGCAATGGGAAGCGACGAGATGTTGAGGTCGAGGAAACGAACCCATTTCGCAAATTGGGCCTCAACAATCACGAGAACACGGTTGATGGGCACGATTTGTACTCAGCAGTGGCATAGCTATGCACAAGACCTTGACTGCTATACAACATTTATAGCGTCCTGTTTTGTGCGGGATCCATGCTCGTCTCAATCTTGCGAATAAACTTGGCAGGATTTCCCGCGACTACTGTAAAGTCGGGAACACTCTTTGTAACAACGCTGCCGGCGCCGACAACGCTGCCTTTTCCAATCGTGACTCCTGGCAATATGCATACATTTCCTCCAATCCAACAGTCTTCTCCAACATGGATTTCCTTGCCGAGCTCTGGACCCTGAGTGCCGTTGCGAACGGCAGGGTCAAGAGGATGGGTGCCGGAATAGAAGCTACAATTTGGGCCCACAAGCGTACGCGAGCCGATGGTGATCAGACAAGTATCCAAGAAAACGGAATTGAAGTTGATAAAGACGTTTTCGCCAAGACGAACGTTGTAGCCGTAGTCCATTGCCATTGGCGGCTCGATCCATGGGTCATTTTCGAAAAGCTTGTCGTCTTCCTCTGCTGTTTGTGCTTGTGGTGGTAGAGGTGTCTTATCCTGGATGACACTGAACACAAATGTGAAAAGAGAATCTTGCGGTACCAAAGACTCATACATACTCTCTGAACAGCTCGGTAAGTTTCCTTCGTGGCACGTCGCCAGCGTTGTTGTACCTAGTCCAGGCATGTTTGCACCTTGCTCGCTCGGCTACAAGTTCAGGCGTGAATGCATGGTAGAGCTCGCCCCTGGCCATTCGCTTCTTGTTCTCCGAAAGCTCCATTGCAACGTTGCACAAAATCGCGACTGTAAGCCTTTGAGCACACCTGGTCAGACTCGGTGATACCAGGGCCAGAGGTTGCGGGGATGCCCTTGACAAGCTAGGCTGATATTAGAATAGCGTGCGGATCTCGTGGGCTGCCGACTGGCGAGGCGCAACGTCAAGAACAATGGCAACCCTCTCTTATTCCTCTGAGCCTTGCTATTGTCTTGCGTTGCGGCAACCCGCCCAGCCTCCCAGTAGCTGTGCACTCTTTTCTTCAGCGTTGTATAAAGTCATGTTCTGAACACTGCCGTTTGCCTCTTCCTGACCGCATATTCAAGTCCCCGCATACCGCTACTCTCTTCCCTACCTACGGCAACCATGGCTGCAAATGGCTCATCCTCGGGTATCGACATCTCGCTACCTGAAAACCCAGGGAATGGAAATGGACCATGGGCTCCTGGAACAGGAGACAGGCAGCCCCCAAACGTAGCTCCTGCCACTCAGCCAAGGAACCTAAACGCCATCTCTCCAGATTTCTACCCCCACGGCAAGCGTTCGCTATCAGGAATTGCTGTGCGTGCCTTTTGCTTAGGTTGCGCCCTTGTTTCCGGCCTGGCTGGAGCTGCGCTTCTCGCATATCACGGAAGCCATCTATGGCGGCCTTGCCTATTCCTTAGCACGCTTGCTCTCTTCCACTTCCTCGAGTTCTACACAACAGCCGCATACAACACTCCAGTTGCCAAGGTTGCATCATTTCTTCTCAGCAACGGTGATCAGTACCGCATAGCTCATACCATGGCCTTTATCGAGACATTCATCACATCCTATTTTTTCCCCGGCTACCAATCCTATATCCACCCACCATGGGCCATCGCAATCGGTGTCGTTCTGATTGCGGTTGGGCAGACTGTCCGCAGCATTGCAATGATACAAGCTGGAACTAATTTCAACCACATGGTACAGTCGAGCAAGAACGACGGCCATGAACTGGTGACACATGGACTATACCACTACTTCCGACACCCCTCGTATTTTGGTTTCTTTTGGTGGGGTATCGGAACGCAGATCATGTTGGGAAATACTTTTTGCTTCCTGGCATATACTGCTGTTCTTTGGTCATTTTTCAAGAGACGTATATTTCGTAAGTCTCACTCTCTGTGGCCCATGAACCTTGTACATGTTCTAATCCATATTAGATGAAGAGAAACATTTGCTGGAATTCTTTGGCAATGATTATAGGGAATACAAAGCGCGGACGCGTGTCTGGATACCTTTCATATGAATCTTCAGGGCGGATCTAATGAGGAGTCTTGGGAATGTTTGCGCTGCAGCATGTCAATATTCACTGCTTATATGTCCAGCCGTGTAAATGAACAGACTAGCCTATATGGATGCTTTTACGAGCGAGTCCTACGTCAAATCGAATATGCAGTCTTTTTTGTAGATCATGTCGTTGTTGTGTTATACCGTCGAGAAAACCGTCTTGACTATTGATACGCACTCGAGGGAAATAAGTTTAGACTTTGGGTAGCAGGTTCAAACTTGAGCGAGCAAACACGCGCCTCATTGTAACACAAATAATTATCCTGTTTCTCTTTGACACAGTCTCTAATTCCCCACGACTTGCAACTCACGTTTATTCCTCTCAGAACCGGAGTTGTCCAGGTCATGACAGCATTTCCATTTCGCTGTAAGTCAACTCTGGCTGTTGACATGCACGACAAGTGGCAACTGCGACGTGACTGCTCCGGGCCCTGTTTGGTTTAGTCAGACATGGCCACGCTTCCGTCACCTCGACTGCTAAAAGCCCGCGCCAATCCAACTCCATAGGTCTCATGCCAAATAATCGTGAGCCTCGTCTTGCATGCATCAGTAACGACAAGAACTACCATGCTTGCCTAGAAGCGTGCATACACGGAATTGAAAACTTTCCTGTTGATCGACGCAGTAACAGTTAGTCCACACGTCCACTCACCTACCATATAATCTTGCTCACTGCTTGTTTTCACCTAGCCACAGCACCACCAAAACAAAATTCCACACGCGTACGACGAGTGCCACTCACAGTGATCTACTGTCTTCTGTGGAGCACTGCTCAACTTCGTCACTTCCATTTCCTCTGCTGTCACCCTTACGTGCGGGTTGCCGTCAACAAACAAGCTCACCTCCGGCATCTCGTTCGCTTGCAGCTATGCATCGCTCGCGATGGGCAGACTCGCCGCCAACTGCTTCGAAAGGCGCCATTTCGCAAAGTGCTGCTCCGTCGATGAAACCCAGCACCTCCGCTGTCCAGCCCGTCGCGAATCCGGGTGCCTTAAAACTCAAGAAGAGCGCCGTCAAGATTTTGGGAGCTGCTAGACATCTATCTCCGCCTTCTACTCCATCTGCAGCGTCCATTCCGCTACCGATGACGCCTCCTGTTTCTCTGTCAGATAAACTCGAGCCTTTAGTAGCTGAATCGTTAGTACTCCACCGCCATCGTAAATCCGAACCTGGCCGCTAATTCTTGCAATAGCAGGTCTGTTAGTGTACCGTCAATCTCCAACGCAAAGGCAGGTCCATCTCAGAAGGATGATCCAAAGTCCGATGACACATCCGCACTGATTGATGCTCTTTTTGCCCACCTGAACAGCAAGGACTCCGAGCTTTCTGCTCCCGCTACAGGCAGCAGCATGACACTCGGAAATCACACGAAAGTGGCACCGATTGAAAGCCTTCCAAGCTCTACAACAGCTACTCTAGTGGTTCCATCGGTACTCACGGAAGCAATTCCCAAACAGGCCACCACAGATGGCTTACCAGAGCCCGTAAAGGCCGCGGTACAGCCCGCAGACATCACTGAAGCAGAGCTCGAGAACGAATACATGCGCAGAGCTAGCGCGTATGTTGATGCTCTTCCAGACACCAAGGAGGGCACGCCACAGCTCATTAAGGTCGTCTCCAACAAAATGCGTGTCACATATAAACCACTCGCCAGCATGGATGTGAAAGAAAAGGATACTATCAAGGCAAGATTTGCGTTTGCCATAGCCAACTACCTCAACAAAACCTTACAAAAAGGCCCAATGGAGTGCGCGGCTTCTTCTATTAAGCAAAAACTTGAGGATGTCGACGGAGACTTTCTCAAACTTTGCGCCATGCTTGTAGAAGAGAAACACATGTCGTTAGAGACACTTGACGATGTTACTGGGCTGGTCAAGGCTCTGCTTGATATTCTTCCCAAGGCGGAATTGACCACTATCCCAGGTATGTTAGGAAGCAAGGTAGTGCTTGAGGACCCGATCGACAACATGAAAACATGGCCAACGGCAGAGAAACGCAGTTCCTGTAAGTCGATTGCACAATATTTCACATGACCAGCGCTAACATTGAATAGCTGCAGCTGCTCGTACATGTATTCTCAAGGGTGTCTCCGCCGTCACCAGTATCAATCAGCTTCAGGCTCTAGTATGGGGTGGAAGGCTGGAGTCCATCTCTATGCCAGAGCCTGGATCCTCGAACGCTCTTGTCAAATTCCTCACAGCTGATGGCTGTAAGAAGTTTCACGCGGATACTGTAAATGGAATAGAGGTGGCCGGAGATAAGAAATCGGCTGTGGTGTTCGTTGAGCTGGCTGAAGGTCCAAACTCCACCAACGATGTCATCCAGGGCTGCATCGATAACGGCATGACTCGTTGTGTCCGAGCTATTGGAAAAGTAGACTATACCGACGCGCAGCTCATGGGATTTGCCAAAGGAAAGAGCCAGATCAACAAGCGCGAGGTTGACTGCATCAAGCATGGGAAGAATACACGCGGTGTGAGTTACTGCCTAACTTTATGCAGTTGCAAAATGCTGACTATGTTACTCTAGCACGAGTATACTGAATTCCGCTTTGCGAATATCTACCACGCCCTCAACTTTAGGCGTGAACTTACGGACAACGAAGACTGGGAGCATTGCAACATAGGATACGCACCTGATCCATGCGAGCTTGCAACCGGTGTTCACTACAAGGACAACGAATAGAGGAACAGCCGTCTTGACTTCTTTACATGTACAGTGACGGATCATGTTGGCTCCAAAGGGTAGTCGATGGCTTGATCGGTATCAATGTTTCCAGGCTTGAATTATTCAGGGTGCATGAAAGCCCAGAATCAAGAACAGGCCTGTGGTGAAGAAGATAAAGTGACGGGAACGGAGACAAATGGGATGCTTTAGGATGGATGTAGCGATAACTAGTAATGGAACTCTAAGTGTGATAGTTCATTGAGCATCCTGGCTAGACGATGCAGGCTTGTAATCAGAAATCCATACGAGATCAGCAGTAGTAACAAATGACCAAATTTGAATCTATATGATTGGAAACAGGAATGCCAGGCGCTCGGCAACCATGCAAAAAGGACGAACAAGAAAAAGTGTCCTGTTTTTGCTACTAATACATTCCGAGATGCTCAATAAAGAACCAGCATACATGGTGGCCCCCTCTCTAGCAAAACCCATGGTGGAATAAAAGAAAAAGGGGGATGATGGCGTTTCCAGCAAAAAAATACTCCTTCAAAACAAAACCTTGTTAAACGCCTTGACTTGATACCACGTTGTCGTGTTTGCTATTACCGCCCCGTACCTGATGCGTCGGAATCGTCCTACCGGTTCACAGCCGTGAAGCTCGCATCCGTCATCTCCGTATCGCCATTCTGCGGTGGAGCAGCAGCAGCAGCAGCAGAGTCGGTCGCAGTAGCAGCAGGAGGCTGCTGCGCAGCACCCGAAAGCGCACGTTGCCTGCCTCCTTCCTCGTCATTAGCCGCCGGCGCCGGACGCTGCTCATCATACGCAGGATCAAAGTACTGGCGCTGAGGCTGAGACTGCGACTGGGCTGGTTGCTGGGGCTGTAGCGACGGGAGAGAATGTAGGGGAGGGAGGGATGGCGGGGGTGCTCCATTGACGACGCTGGTTGGGGGACTCGCAGCCGTGGTGGCACTGCCGGCTCCGACGGTGTTGAAATAGTTGCTCTGCGACCGGCCGGGGTCTGGGGTGCTTTGCGCGCTGCTGACGGGGTTCACGCTGTGCGATATGTGGCCTATGGCTCCTATCCTTCCTTCGGCACCTAGTCGTTCGCCCTCGCCGCCTGCAGTACTGCTCGCGCCACCGGCGCCGCCGCTGCTGCCAAGGGGAGGGGTGCCCTTTCTGTTGTGGCTCCGCTTGCTGCGCAGCGGCTTGTCGGTTGGGGTGGGCGGGGGGCTGCTACTCCGATCACTGTCGTCGACGTTGTACTCCATGTGCTTGTTGAGTTGTTCGAGGAGAAAAGCGCGCTCGAGGCGCATCTTCTGGATTCCACGGTTCAGGCGGGTTATGCGCAGGCGCGTGCCATCGTTATTGTCTTCAATGTCGGTTATCCGGCGCCGTAGATCGATGCATTTGCGGTAGTAGGCAGTTTCGACGGACGGCGGCAGGTCTTTGGAGGCGATTGCGCGGGATGCTAACGTGGCTGTTTAGTTACAAATGGTCTACTTGAGCGACATGCGACGCGCCTTACGCGGTTGTGGCATCTTTGCGCTTTCTTTCTTTTTTTCAGTGTTTGAGGTGTAATTCCAAAAAGTCACAATGTGGTCCCAATAGCTTGACGTGCGGTGTCGCGGGTGGGTGGAGTGGTTGGAGGATATGGGGTTGTTGGTCTCTGGGGCTGATGGTTGGACGCGCCCATGTTGAAGCTCGAACCTCTGTGGGGCCGACGTTGTTCCGAATAGCCTCACCTCCTGTGGCAACCTAGCCTTGGCATCAACACCACTTACTTCTATGCGGTCTACGTGAATTCTACATCTTCTCGTGTCAGGCCGCTTTGGAATTGCAGTCGCACCCACCTGTCTTCTTTCAGGTCATTGTAGCCCCAAATGCTGATATGTCCTCTCACCATCTTAGACCAAGTGTGTATGAACGCAGCTAAAGGCGTGATCGGTCATGTCCCACATTTTCAAATGTCTCAAATACCTAGTAAAACGGCTCAGATACATTAGGATACTCGCTCACCGGACTTGAAATAGGCGTTAGGAGATCTGTGAGGTAGAACCGGGTGCGCTTATCCCAAATGGGATACCGACTACAGATGCATATCAAACTGCATATGCATATCACCGGACGTTTGGCTGGCTCGGAGGTGCTTGCGCGCTGAAAAATCGTTCACCAACGGAGAGACATCGGTTTCCTTGCCTTTACTTATTTATATTCCCAGTCCCAGCCCCGCCTAGTACTCGACGTTTGGGAGGCTGCGACAAGCAGTACTATATTTGGCAGTTGCGTTACAGTCAGTGCAGCTACACACCGTAATCTGATACTCCTTCAGACAGTCAAAACTCTTCCTCAAATAATCTCCCCGCCGTACGGTTGTAGCCGTGTGTTGTGTGAGTGGACCCGCTGAATAGTGTTTGGTCGGCGGGACCTCGGACTGCTTAAAACGCCTCGCTGGCAATCGATCGATACCACGTATGAAGAGTCTAATCTATAGAGACTAGAATAGAGTAAAGATAGGATCTGCAAATCGCAAGACCAGGTGATGATGGGAGTGCGGTGTGGCTTTGGCTCTTCATATGCAGAATGCATAAAATCGAATGACCTTGACTATATAAATCTGGTGACCGGGTCTAGATGCGCTGCGATTGAAATTCAGTTCGCATAAAGTAGAGCTCTGAGCACAGACTATCAAAACTATCATCTAGTATTGGCGTCAACGGCACCAGCAGACATGTCGAGTAATTCTTCAAAAGGATACACGTAACCGACTTTACACAAGCTACGAGTCGGGACATGTGTGAAGTGAACGGGAAACGGAGGGAGAACGAGTTATGAAATATACTTCCTTAAGTGTCTGCATATCTGAGAATGTAGGTAATTCTTCACTCTTCAATCGTTGGTGTTGCTCTATTAGGGCTTCTTGTTGGTTACCAAAGAAGACAATGTGTACGGATAACCCCAATCCTCAGTACCATGATGTTAGACAAAGGCTGAAGCCTGGATCCGGCAAATTCCATCGCGTTCTCTTAGCATCCGCGCATGACTTGATAACGGGTCGTGAAAATGTACAAATTAGTCCTGTGAAGCTTGGAATATATGCTTGCATTCGCTCAATACATGCTTCAAATCCGTACAAATTGCCAATGTGGTTTTCCAACCGGTAATTTGCCACAGATCTTTCTTGTCTGGGCCGCAGCGCCAGTGCCAGGAACGGAAGTAAGATATTGTTTACCGCTTTCATCTCGTCGACTGTTTTTATACAGCCGTAACCAAACAGCATCGGCATTGCTGCATTCAAGCGCTTGGAGTACGTTCTCATTTTCTAGAACTGGGTCTAGTATATTCAGTATCTCTTCGAACCGTTTAGCGCGGACAGTGACGTGTTCAGTGATAGCACATAGCAGCTTGACAAGACTATTCCAGATCATGCGCGAGGGTGTATCAATGTACGCTTCTGGTCGCGATAGTTTGGTAGTGGGATTCGCAGATATTGAAAGGCTCGTCATATCAGCCTCTATTCTGCCAGTACGCACTGCTTGCGTGCTTTTGGTACTGCTTTTGTTGGTGTCACTTTGCGTGTTGGTACGTTTATGCACCTTTTGTATAAGTGGCCATGCGTCATCGATTCTTGTCCTCATGAAATCCCCTGCATGTTCGCATATAAGCGCTATGGTATCGAGAGTACTAGATACAATGTATGCCTCGGGATCTTGGAGTCGAGGCAGCAGTACAGGCCATAGGGTGTTAATGAGTGGTAAAAATGAGTTTTCGTGTTTAGCGAGCGCAGGCATAGTTTTTTGGAGGAGGGATAGTAAAGAGTTGCGTAGTGAAGGAGAGGTGGTCGTCAAGTAGTGTTGTGTCAACTCGGAGATCTTGAGAAGAATGTTGAAGGTGCGAGGTGCTGGTGGTGGAGGCTCTTCTGTCTGGGATGGCGGATGTTCGTCCTCTTCACTGGGATTGCCGTTGGCATCTTCTGGATTCTTCTCTTCTTTCCAAGGATTCTGAGGGAAAGACTCTTTTGAGGCTTTCTTCTCTTCCTCTTCACGGCGTCGTGAGTCAGCTTTCAGCTTTTTGAGTGTTCCCACGACATTGGCCATTGTGGGCTCCATGCTTTGCTTGCTCTCATGCCGTTTGTTGCTGTCTGATGTGATTGCAAGTTGAGACGTTTTGACGCCTTCTTCGGTCATGCCTTTCAACACCGAGAACAATAGTTCTGCAAGCTTGGGATATCCGTGATATCTTTCCAAGGCTTCAAATATGCTATCAACAAGATCATCGAGATACGGCAGGAGAGATGGACCACACAACCGCATCATCATGAGCAAGACCTGCGGAGCTTGGGGTGAGACATCTCCATAGGCAAGTTTCAGACCAACTGCGTTGACGATGTAGTCGACGTTTTTGACGACCAGCTCTCCTGCATTTGCATACCCAGATTCGTCTGCAACAATATTCAGACATGTCAATGCATGTTCGCGCAGAGCCGTACTGGAACTTCCCAGGTAGTGAAGTATTGGATAAAGAACCTCGCTCAGCTCGGGCCGAAACTGAGTCTTGTACTGTTTAGCCTGTAATGCTACTGTCTCAAGCGCCAGGGCGAAGAAATGCCATGGTGTCTCTGTAGCTGGCTCGCGCTGATTGAGTAAAGAGAGGGAATACGAGTACAAATGGTCCAACAGCTCTTCCCTCGGATTTGGCGTTCCAAGATCCATGAAATCATCGATTGATGGATTGATTGCAGCCGCCTCCCTAACCAGATTGATTGATAGCCAGAAACTAGCCAGGCGCATTTCAGCTGTCCCCATATCGATGGAGCCCATGAGTGCTTGTACTACTGCCAGGGCTGAGTTGGACTTTGCAATCTCTTGGACTAGAAGCTTGAACTCTGACATCATGTCATCCTGGCCTTTGAACTGCAAGCTGATAGACGGAAAGGATAACGATTTCATGGAGTTTAGCGCGAGGGTGCGATCGGTGATGGTATTGTATGTGCTTTCATTCAACTCCTCCAAACCTTTTGCATCAGAAAAGACGGCAGAAACACCGTCGCGCAGGCTGTCGGCTAACCGCTCATCTAAGATGATTGGATCTTGTTCAAACAGCCTTAAGGAAACCGATATCTGGTTTACGATTCGGCGCCGATTGTGATCATCCTTGGATTGCATCAGTCGCGGTAGTGCCAGTATCCAGCCGTGCAAGCTTTCGCGTAAGAGATCGGAAAGCTTCCGGTCTACAAGTAACAGGCCTTTGAGTTCGTGCTCAATCGAGCCGCCCGAGCTTTCGTGACCAGCCAGACTAATCATGGTCTCGGTAGCCATGCTCGTGCAGAGAGAAAGCGGTATGCGGCAATCTTGTATGATGCACAAACAAAGCTTGAGAAGGGCTTGCCGAACTTCTGGTTTATCATGATCTCGCAGTTTGAAGACATTAGCGAGTGCAATCTTGATCTGCGAGGAGGTCGCCTGCAGCCAGGAAGTTGAACGGACTACTTTGATATTATCTTCCAAACCTTTAGTCGGATCTTCATCGGGTAGATTTTTGATCTTTGCGTCGCTCAGAAGGCGACCGAGGAGCAATGTGAATACACCCAAACCTTGCTCCACAACCCGAAAACCTGGTCGGTTACTGCTGCTTGGGGTCAAGACTTTGGTTAAAGATGAGATCATCCTAGGCAGAAAGCTCGCAAGAGCGTCGTCGTCTGCTATGGCATTGATGGTTGATTTTGTTGCACAAACGGCTTGGAATTTGATGTTATTAGCATTGCTATCTGTGAGGCTTTGGAGCATGACCAAGACTGCCTCTCCAAGAGCAGGGATGTTTGGGGTCGCCGTGATGACCTGTTGGCCCTCAGCTGTACGAGATACTCCTGTCATCAACTCGGAGATGCACTTCAGGGCCAAGGACTGGAGCTCTTCGGATGTAGCCGAGATACCGTTCTCCGCAGACGAGGGCTTGGCGAGGAAGGTGAAGAGAATGAGCAGCTGGCCAGACAGAGCTGGCTCCAGACGGCCTCCCCAACCCGCACATAGCAAGGTTGAAATGCACTCGAGGCAGATCTCGAGCGCGCGAACAGGTACTTGGCGCGAGATTCGCAACACTTGTGAAATGGGGACGAAGGCGTATTCGGTCAGCTTTGCATCCAGCAGACCGGGTTGGCTAGCCAGGGAGCGCAATGTAGTAAGCAGATCAGAAAGGGCATCTATCAAGTCCTTGCGAGCACTCTGGTTCTGCGAGAGGCTGGCAGTGACTTGCAACAGGCGAATGCATATTTGCTTCAGCTGAAAAAGGATTAGCGTAGGCGTAGGACATGGCGACGACGGTGCTGCTGACCCGTTGAAAGACTTGCTGTCTGTCCATGCTGTCTGTTTATTGAATTTTGGGAGGAAGAAGCAACCGTGGTTGGGTATGCAGCAAATGCAAGAGGAGTGCTGATCAGATGGTCTACCGGCTTTGGCTGCCAAGTGAAGAGAATGGCAGACTCAGAAAAGTGCAGTGTGGTGAATATGCCAGCCAAGCATATCGAGACAGCCAGAAAGGGCAG